TGAAGCAAGGGAGTTGCAATCTACAACTACTACTACTACTAGCGCCACCATGAGGTTCACGTTTGTGTTTTGGTTTCTCATAATATTCCCATCAGCTAATAAACAAATATTAGCACTAAACACATTAAACTAAGAATGTAAACATAGTAAACATTAAACCGTTAATTAACAGTTAATGTTAAATGTTTTTAAATTAATTAATTAATGCTCTAAAAAATGTCAAATAATGAGAAATACCTACAATCATTTATTTTGTCTGAACAAAAAAAACTAATTTTAGATTATTTTAATTTCAATTAAATTTAAATATTTTAATTTTTTACAAATAGAGAAAAGCTGCAAATCCTCTCATTTAATAAGTTGCAGCAGGTGTTTTGGTGTTTTTATGTGGTTAATATTTAAGGATAACATTAATAAGCTCTAGCTTCAGATGCAGTTTTATAGCTGTTCCCTTCTTCTAATGGGATTAAAAACAGACCTCAGATCAAAATACTAAATGAAACCCACTGAATTATAATAAATCTGTGACTGTGATCTGACAGTTGTGTGTCCGTCACATCAGTTTCATTCCTCTGGCGCCGGCGAGAACGTCGTCAGCTCGCATTTAGTCTCTCAGCAGCCACGATGGCGGCGCTGACGGACGTTCCTCTGGGCTGCTTCCTGCTGCAGCTGCTGTTTGAGGTCTATTATGCTGCTGGGAGATTACGTCACGACCCACCTGTGTGTCAGCGGGGTCAGGGTCAGCCTCACACACACTGTGTTTGTCCCAGGTAAAGTCTGTCACTGATTGTTTTTCCAGGCTGCTGGGATCGGAGACCACCGAGAAGGAGCGGGAAGGAGGGGCAGCTGTTTCCAGGCAGGGCAGGAGCGAGGCTCGCGCCAGCAAACGAGAGGTAACCGCACGAGGACGCGTTTAATCAGTTCATCCAACCGGTGTTTGAGACTCACTGTCATCGGTTTACAGCAGCTCTTTTTACAATAATTGTGTATGTTGGGAAATAGTTTCTGAGGACAACGTGGTTCCTTCAGCGGGTTGTTGGTTCAGTGGAGCGCAGACAGCGGCGTGGAGCTCGTCGTCAGAGCTAACCGACAGTTAGACGTTACTTCTCTCCGGGTTCAACACGAAGGATTGTCGTTAGAGGAGGTGGAAAAACTCAAAGTCAGGAGGATAAAACGGGATCGTAACAAGAAAAACGCTAATAAATAAAACTCATAAACGTTCATTAGGGGGAGACAAGAGCCGATATTTAGCATTTTTCCAATTATCGATATCGATATTTCTTTTATCTGATGACAGATTGAATAAATTAATTAAAAGTACTTTACGTTTGTTTCTGATTAAGCTGCTTCTCTCTGTAGTCTCAATGTCCCGCCCAACTCTGTCTGATTGGTTTATTTATAGAATTATCTTTTTAAATTAACGTTGAAAGCTTTTCTTTTGGAGCATTTAATTAAACACTTAAAGTACTTTAATTAAGTAAAAATAACATTACTACAGTGTAAAAATACATCAGGACATCAGGATATACTTAAAGTCAAAGTGCAGACTAACTAATAACAGTTAATAATTAAGTATAAAGCAGAATAAAATGGAAATACTCAAAGCTGTTCTTCTGTACAGTACTCGAGTACGAGTTACTCTCAACCACTTTATTCTGAATTTTGACACTAAGATTACTAATAATCTGCAGCTCTGATGGTGTTTAGAAGCACATTTATGGCCCTTTGAGAGAGTCACAGTGGGGTTAATCTGTTGTAGCTGGTCTAAATAAGTAATGTAATATAATATAACATAATGTCCTGGGGTCTCCTCCCAGTTGGCTGTGCCCAAAATACCTTCCAAAAGTTAGTCATCCAGGAGGCGTTTCCTTTAACAACGCACAGTAATCGTTCAAACAACAGGTTGTTATATTTCTGCAAGTTTCTGCTTGTTTCATAATGTCGCCTTTTTACACAGTTAATCCAAAGTGTGTGTTAAAGGAACAGTTCGAGTTCAACGAGTGGAGCAGCGACCGCTCTGCGAGGTTGAAGCTGCGGCCGGTTATAACACTTTGTTTGTTGAATCCATAAAGGAAACAGGTTGAGGAGTCTAACAGGCAACCAGGGAGACTCTACAAAGACCTGCTGGGATCAATAATATCGTCTAATTCTTGGCTAGAAAACAAAATATTGAACTATTCCTTTAATAAAGTACTGAGACAACATTTAATATCCTGATTACAGTTTATATATCAACCATATAACACATTGTCTGTAACTTCAATGAAGAAATAACTTATATAAAATGATCACATTAATAATAATATTACATTTTAAATTCTATATTCAACAAATAAAACTTTATTTAATCATATTTGATTATTTTTCTCCTTTTATTTTCAACCTTTGTGCAACAGAATATAAAACATTACAACATAGTTATTGTGACGTCGTATCTTGAAATATCTCTAAAATCTGTACAACCGAAGCTAAAAGGTTGTATAAGTTAATAAACTGTAATAATTGAATAAAGTACAGAAAACACAGAAATATGACCTGTTTTTTTCATCAGATTTTATTAAATAA